GTAGAGTTTCAAATTATTATAAAAGTCATCCAACGTCAAGAGACTATATTCTAGCGTTTACTTTCAGTAACTTAGTGGAACGGAATTCCAATGTGTAAAACGTATCAGGGACATTGAAATCTAGATAGTGACTTTTTTAACATTCAGGAAAGAGAAGATCATTAATAACTAGAATAATCAAAACTGTAGCGATTATCGTGTATCAAAATGTATATCGTGCTTTCATATGAAATGTGGAGTTATTACGTGCCACACAATGAAGCACATATCTATTCTAAGTAAGGCTTAGTTAGATGTCCTTTCAATGTTTGTCCTTTTCAGATTCAGCTATGAGATTATTTATTTTGAGGAACTACGATTTTTCAGTCAAACCTTATTACTGTTCATGTAGATGATGAAAATGACAACAAGTAACATAATTTCATCATTTGGTACTTAACTGAAATGACGTAACTATTTAAATGACTGTATTCCATCTTGTTACAACTGAACAAAAGTTTATATGGCTTAATGTAATGGAGAAGGAAATGATAGATCCAAACAAAGATTTGTTCTGGATTAAAAAGTAGATCAAAGCTATATTTGAGCACACTGATTTCCTATACAAATGTGTACATTAACCAATAGTCAAATTTGAATAAATTAAACTAAATAACGTTTAGAATAAAATTCATCAATTTGATTTGTGATTGTCCATCATAACACCAACATTTTGACAAACCTCCTGGATTATATTTATTTGTTAGTTTTTTTCCTGTTTTGTTCATATCGTCAAAATGAAGGAAATTGGCTTGACGTTTTGTATATGAACAAGTAAAATCAGTCTTCTTATCAAATCGAGATTAGCATTCTGCTTATTGACATTCTATACATTTATGTTTAGAATATGAAGGAGAAAAAAAATGATTTTTATACTTTTGAATACTAGTCAAAACACCTTGGATACATTGTTTCCTTTAAATAAGTAAATGTAATGGCTTATTTTGACGACAAAAACGTTCTTAACACTTACATACAATTTTCATCTTAGATAAACGTGAACATTTAACATTCAGTTCATAAGATTTTCTGTATAATACTTTCAGATCTTGAAAAAATAATGATATTTCCTACTTTATATCTGATATCCGTTGCCTATGGAGTTGTATGCTCCATACAAGCGGTTAAATTGAATTTGATTTATTGAAGCTAGTGTTAGATGTTTGCAAGAGTCATCTTCCCATCTGATAAACTTTAACAATTAACATTGAATTTGTTGAGGGACTGGATATTACTAAAACAGTACTGAACACTAATGACTCTTCATCAAACACTTTTTGAAAAATGCTAACCGTTTTATAAAATTTTAAAATCAGTGAACATTTTCAACATGGAAAAAATATCTTCAATGGTGTTTCGTTTCATAAGATGAGAACGACAATTTGAATCACTATCCACTTCAGCTAATATGAACATAAACAAATCTTTCTTTATGCTTTAACAGGTATCGAACCTTACTCCAAATTTTGGAATGAAGTCAAAATGAAATACTGATAACAAATCTACATTGACAGTTTCTGACACATTATTAATTGAAAGCTGAAGAAAGTTTGCAGTCAACATCTCATTTCACTTCTGCTTCCAGTCTTCAAGTTGTTTCTATCATTTGTTAAGTAATAACTTCACTTCATTAATGTGTAGAAACAAAAAAAAAGAAAAGTAATCACGACATTTTTGTGTACTTCTTGATTATACCAAAACATATTTCAGTGAAAGTCAAAAGTCCTACGTATTCACTTAAAAATAAAGGGATGTCATTATAGAAGAAAAGTGTCTTGATCATGGTTGAAATTAGTGAGAATTTTGTTGAATTTGATGTTTGTTTTATTTTTTTTACCAAGACAGTTTTACAGTCCATTATCTTTTCTATTCATTGTGAAATTCAGAAAGTATTACAAATAGTAAGCGTGTTTTTTCTTTCTATAATTCAGATCAAAATTCATTTTTATATTTACCCAATTTCGACCATATGTGATATTCATTATCTAATCATCGAATGTTAGTAAAATTGTTAAGTAGATAAATGTATTTGATTAAATTCATTGTTGGGTCTTTGAAGGATACACAAAATTTCCATCTGCTATTAGTTATTGTTTTCTATGGTGTATTTTGCTAACCTCAGTTTTTTCCATGTTTTTCAATCAATTTTGATAGTTATAAAATGACCATACAATAAAATTGATCATTAGTTTATGTAAACCTGTTGAGTACATGACAGTTAACTAAGATATTTTTAATTTACTATAAATAGGAAAAATGTAATAAAGACTTATATTATTTTGATTGAAAATGTCCCTAATGAACTGGGACTGAAATTTTCTGCGATCATTTAATTATAACAAATATAGAAGATTATCAGAATGGGTTTTGTGGAGATTTTCAGAAATTTCACAGATTGAAATCATGAGTCAGTTGAAGCTAGACTGACTCATGATTTCAATCTGTGAAATTTCTAAAAATCTCCACAAAACCCATTCTAATAATCAACTGCCCACTAGTGACCTACTTCAGGAAGAACTCCCGAGGTTCTAGTGAGAAGCCGTTATCAGTGGAGTTCAACCCGGTCTGTTGTGAGATAGGAACTCACTGAAGACAATGGTGTACGGTGGCGCAACTTCGTGGATTGGTTGAAGTTAGACATTAACACCGTTGGATTTTGGCCGGCTCAGTGGTCTAGTGGTTAAGTGCTCGCGCGCGAAGCCAGTAGGTCCTGGATTCGAGCCCCGCGTGGTGCGGGATCGTGGATGCGCACTGCTGAGGAGTCCCATACTAGGATGAAACGGCCGTCCAGTGCTTCCAGGTTCTCAGTGGTGGTCTAGCTTAAACTGACTCATGATTTCAATCTGTTAAATATATAAGAGTTAGGCATGGTGCAATTAAATTATTCCATTTACCGTGGTAGTCATTCTATGGCTTAGAATAACACGACAATTTCTTATTCTTTCTCTCCCCTTAGTTATTTTCATTGTACTTTTATTTGTTTGACCTTTATTAATTTCCATATAAATATGCCTTGACAAGTATATGTGTGACAAGATTGTTCAAAATGTATAGCGCTAATACATCACATTTTTCAGATCAACTCCGTCTTTTCATTGTTCCATCGAAATTTATAAAAGGGATTAATTGCTTGATATTCAGTTTAAAAAATAAATTAGAGAATTATTTCTGTCTTTTCATAAGAATTAATACCTCACAATTGTAAATCTTGGACAGTAACACTAACTTGCTAAATCCGATGTCCTTACATATGTGTATATTTTGTTACATCGACTAGGGTAATTGTAAGTTAAGTTTGTACATAAGTATAGAAGCATTATAATATCATCATTATGTTCAGTGAAGTCATAATATATGGGAAAAGTCAACAGAGATGGCTTATTTAGCCTTTTTTCCAAGCTAAGACTATCCATTTATCAAATGTTCATCTTTTAGTCAGTTTCCAACTCAAGCTTTTATTCACTTTCAGTGTTAAATAATTTGAAAAGTTATAATTTATTATACATTACTTCATCATTATTTACAAATTGTCAACTACAAGCCAATAAATATAGTATTAGAAACAACTGAGAGGCTGTTAACTATATTTAATTGATTTCCTCAAGGGTTATTTTAGGCTTTGTATGTTAGATGATCCCAACTCTGTTGTAAAAACTTAACAAGGTGCAATTCACTTGTGCAAAAAACAACAACTACCTCAAAGTCTAGTATATGATCATTTGAAGCAATTATGATTACCGTCTTTTGATCCGAATCTTCAATATGAATGTCAAGATAGTTGTACTGTATGGAGCTGAAACTACGAAAACTACCACAACCATCGTCAAAATATTACAGGTATTTATAAACAGTTGTCTATGAAAGATACTCAGTGTCCGTTGGCCGGATACCATCAGCAACAACCTACTGTGGGAGTAAACAAACCAGACTCCAGCTGGGGGGGAATTAGGAAAAGACATTGGATGTAGATAGGACATACACTACGGAAATCACCAAACTGAATAACGATGCAAGCGCTAACTTGGAATCGTCAATAGAAACGAAAAATTTAAACGACGAAAACGATACTACATCAGAAATGGGAATCAGACATAAAAAAGATGAATAACAACTTGAAACAACTGTAAAGGATTGCCCAGGACAAAATTGGATGAAGCATTCTGGTAAGCAACCTATACTTTTTCATGAGGGGTAACAAGAGTAAGTAAGTAAGTAAGTTTTAATTTCATCGGTTAGATATATACCTTATTAATATTTGACAAATGAATCATTTTGAAATTTGACTTTTACATCATTTATTGTCAGTATAGCATCGTTAGAACAAAAACAAACATTTTCATTCATATTTACACTGTTGAAATATACTAGAAATGTATTGTGGAAAGCTCAAGTTTTTTCACTGACAGTTAATACTATAAATAATAAATATCTGTTTGTTGTATAGATCTATTAGTTGCCAAAGATAAATCATAGTTTCTTACAAAAGTAAATATTTAGTTATCCAATAAAAACATTAAAATTACTGTCTCATGAGTAACATTCTATGTTTAACACTACAGATACGATAAAGTACCAACAGTTGAAATATGTACGATTAATATTTTCTCGCTACTTTACATTAATGAGACAGTTAGATACCCGTTTAGTACTAGTGTATAACTTCTCAAGGGTTCCATTTCATAATCTTGCAGAAATCAATCCTGTAAACCTCTAGGCAAGAAAGTTTAGTTTGTAAATAAATATTTAAGATTTACTGATTTACTTGTCAAATTCACTTAATAAAAGACTATTCAACCATCGTTGAATTCTATGAGTGATACTTGTCTATTGTTAGTTGATAATCAATAGTTATCTAAATAAACTTGTTCTATAATGTAATTTTCATTCAACAATATATATCAGAAATATTACAGTGTTAGACAATAAACAAAAGTTATATTAACATTTTAACAAACACCTACTTCAGCACGAATAGTTTCACACTCCAAACAGGAACATGCACGATCATGTGGCATTTCTAGTTTTAACCCTCTATCTAGTAATAATTGAATAATTTCATGATTGTTAATATGTGCTGCAAGCATTAAAGGTGAAATATCTGAAGAGAACTGAGATCGTTTACCACGATTATTTGTTCCACTTGATGGTCCGGACACTTTACTTTTGCATTGTTTTTCCATTCTAATGTATTGTGGATGATCAACAATTAGTTTAACTAAATGATTTTTTTGTTGGCTTATTGCATTTAATAAAGCATCTTCAACAGCATAAAAATCTAACCTATTCACTAATAGTTCCACTAAATCAAGATTTTCATTTTTCATTGCCAGTAATAAAGCATTACGTCCCATATAATCTACACAGTTTACATCAAGTTTTATATCATCCAATAAATCTCGAACAACTTCAAGTTCACCAAACTCTGCTGCATTTAAATAAACATATTCTTTATCTTGTAAATGAGTTCGAAATACTAATCCTGACTCACAACTTAATTTCCAACCAGCTGATGTCCATTTTTTATTTCTTCCTATTAAATGTTCTAATTGTACAGCTGCTGTTGATATTCCTGGTAATGGTGTTGTAAATGGAAATAATGTAGATCGTCTAGCTAAACCTACAACTGCACCATCATAATTCACTGGGACATTCATTTTATATGGATTTTTTTTCATTATTCCTTCATTTTCTATCACCATATTTTAATGATTTTGTAAATTTTGAATAAGATCAAAAAATCAGAAATTGATTCACAACATGAGATTTTTGTTTTTTTGTTCAAAATGATGTTCAACAGTCAATTGTAAAATACAAATCATTCAATTCTATTTGTTTAAATAGAATGTTTTAATTAAATACAGAATATTCCAAAGGAATTAAGTACAGTAAATATACAACTTTATAACTAATATTCATTTTAAAGAGACATATTAAAGAGGAAGAATATTTGTATTCCTTTTTAACCAATCAGAAAACAATAGAATAAAATCTAAATAAATTACAGAGTTATAGGTTTGAATTGTTTTTTTCTGGTAAGCGTTTTTTTTAGCAAGATAGTTTTCTACGGGCTTGGGAACAGCCGTAACTTTAGAAGAGCAACCGGGAAGTGATAACCGCCGTCATACCTCTAACAGCAATCAAAACCACTGTATTCATAATCAACCTCCCTCTTCAATTCCTATTATTCCTCCTACATCGACTTTCAACTCTAAATTTCCTCTCTCGGCTCCCTCTTCAAATGTCACCATAGCTAACGATTCTAGTGCTCGAAATACTGTCCCAAGTCTACTGAAACCCCACTCCAAACTACACATTGGAGCCTTCAACGTACGAACCCTGTGTCAAATCGGTCAGCAGGCTTCGTTGGCTAAAACCCTAGAGTCTTTTACCATTCATGTGTGCTGTGTCTCCGAAACACGCATCCAGGATTCCAGTGTGGTTATTCACTTGATTTCACCTCGGCAAAACGGCGAGCCAACGAGATACACCCTCCGTGTATCTGGTGACCCGATGGCCAGTTCTCGTGGACTGGCAGGTGTAGGCATAGCACTAAGCATGAGGGCGGAACAAGCACTGCTAGAGTGGATCCCCATCAACAGTCGTCTATGTGCTGTTCGGCTAAACGGCTACGTAAGAACTCGGAAAGATAGGGACATACATCGTTGCCTTTTCATCGTTTCTACCTACGCTCCCACGACTGAAGCTCAGATGAAGTGAAAGATGAATTTAACAGAAAGCTATCCGAACTTCTTCAGAAAGCTAAACGCTCAGACATAGTACTCGTAGGAGGTGACTTTAATGCTCAGATAGGTAGTTTAAACCAAACAGAAAGGCACTTAGGTGGATATTTTAGTATTCCGATACAGCGAACAGATAATGGTGATCGTCTGCTACAACCATGCTCAGACAATCGTTTATTTTTAGCAAACACAAATTTTAAGCATATGGAGAGACATCGTCTAACACGGCGACCCCCTACACCAAACCAACGATTGACTCAAATAGACCATATTGACATCAGTCATCGTTGAAGAGGGTCGGTAGAAGATTGTCGCTCATTATGGAGTACCTGCTTGTACTCCGACCATGCCCTAATACGGGCACGCATCTGCTTGCACCTCACTGGACGCAAAAAGCCGCATTAAAAAGGCCCGTTAGAACTGAGTTGGGTACCGAGAAAACCAGAAGTAGGTTCCAGGAACAACTGAGGTCACACTTAGGTAGTTTCGAAGACGAGGCTGACCCAAATGTTGCTTGAAAATGCATACAGCAGTGACATATATTAGTGACTTAAACCACAGAGTTACAAAGAACCAATGGATTTCTTCAAAGTCTATCACACTGATGGATTCTCGCAAACTCGTCCCATCGGGTTCTGAACATGATGAAGAGTGTAAAGAAATCAGATCTAGATTAAGAAAAAGTCTAAGGAACGACCGTGAGCAGTGATGGGTAACGAAAGTAAAAGAGATGGAAAAGGCGGCGACCGTAGGGAACACAAGACAGCTTTACAGACTAATAAAAGAAACTGGAATTAATAGGTCAAATGTAAGTGAGATTATATCGGAAAAAGACGATACTCTCATCTGCTCACAGTCCAGACGTTTAAAACGATGGGCGGAACATTTCAGAGAACAGTTCAACTGGCCTTCACCTACTCTACAACTACCCTCCATTCCCAGACAGTGTGAATGGGAGATTGAAGTAGGTCCCCCAACTCTAGCATAAGTTCAAAAGGCTATAGTTATTCTGAAACGAGGAAGGGCAGCTGGTCCAGATGGATTGGCCCCAGAGGTCTTTAAGGATGGTGGTCCAATTTTAGCTATTAGGTTGACTAATATTTTAGCTAAGATCTGAGAATTAGACGTTATCCCATCTGACTGGTCACAATCACTTATCGTCCCAATATATAAGAAAGGGTGAAAATCATCCTGTGACAACCACAGAGGGATTAGTTTAACAAATATAGTATCTAAAATACTAGCCTCGATAATTATCAATCGCCTAACTAAGACTCGTGAACTGCAAACACGAGAAAACCAAGCTGGCTTCAGACCTGGTCGTGGCTGCATCGACCACATATTTACCATTCGTCAGGTTCTAGAGCACAAGCATACTTATCGGCGTCCGACAATGGTGGTCTTTCTTGACTTAAAAGCAGCATTTGACTCGGTAGACCGCGAGATTCTGTGGCAGTGTCTGTCATTGAAAGGTGTACCTCAGGAGTACATAAACCTAGTGAAGGCTCTTTACTCGAACACTACTAGTCGAGTGAGAGCTTATGGCGAACTGTCATCTAGTTTTGCAACCTCAAGTGGTGTCCGTCAAGGCTGTTCACTTTCTCCATTTTTGTTTAACTTCATCATAGACCTATTGATGGAAATAACACTCACATCGACTGAATTTTCGGGTATTGATCTCCTACCTGGAGGTCCACTTATCGACTTAGAATACGCAGATGACATAGTCCTGTTTGGTGAAGACGCTGACAAAATGCAGAGCCTTCTGGTGACACTAAGCAACAATGCCGAAATGTTTGGAATGCGCTTCCTCCCTCTAAATGCAAGTTGTTGCTTCAGGACTGGTCTGCGTCAACACCTGAACTAAGGATAGGGAGTGAAGTAGTCGAACGCGTTGACAACTTCACTTATCTTGGAAGTCTGACCAGCCCTAATGGGTTGGTATCGGACGAAATCTCAGCACGGATTCGAAAAGCTCGTTTGGCTTTTGTCAACTTACGTCACCTATGGTGAAGGCGAGATATATGTCTATCAATAAAACGACGAGTATACTGCGCGGCATTTCGTTCTGTTTTACTTTACGGCAGCGAAACATGGCCATTAAGAGTCGAAGACACTCGTAAGCTATTAGTATTTGACCACAGATGCCTTAGAAATATTTCTAGCGTCTGTTGGGATCGCCGGGTAAGTAATAGTGAGGTTAGACGCAGGGTATTAGGGAATGATGGTAAATCAGTTGATGAGGTTGTTAAACTTCATCGACTGAGATGGTTGGGCCACGTGTTACGTATGCCTGAACACCGATTACCACGACGTGCAATGCTAACCGGTGTTGGAGATGATTGGAGGAAAGTAATGGTCGGCCAAACCAAAACGTGGCATCAGTGCTTGAAGTCACTAACTTCTAATCTGAGGCATGTTGGTAGATGCAAACCACTTGGTTGGGGTCCGCGTGACTTTCATAACCAAAGGTTGGAGACTCTTGGTGACATGGCTCAGAATCGATCACAATGGCGTCGGTGCATACACTCCCTGTCTTCCCTTAAACTAAGAGATTAAAATCAATTCATATCTTTTTCTCTACTAACTAATTCTTTCTTCCTATACTATATCCTTATTGCAATCTTTCTCCTATATATTAACACCTTTGACTTTATTATTATTATTATTATTATTATTATTATTATTATTATTATTATTATTATTATTATTATTATTATTATTAATGGCTTTATTCAATATCATATTTTGGTACAATATAGAATTCTCAGCACTCCTATGAATCCGTTGTTCATCTTGCTGTGCTAATGAGGTATGGCAACCTGGACCGATGCACATATGTGCCTGGTCCTACGTTATAGCTGACTGACTGACTGACTAGAAGAGCTACAGGCGCATACACATGAACAAATGCAAATAAAAACAGCCAGTGTAACAGCAGTCTCTGTATCAGTAGGCCTCAACATACACATGGGGAAAACCAAGGTCCTCAAATTCAAAAAGAAGAACAGCAATCCAATCACACTTGATGGAGAAGTTCTGGAAGATGTAGAAACTTTCACATACCTGGGAAGCATCATCAATGAACAAGGAGGATCAGATGCAGACGTGAAGGCGAGTATTAACAAAGCAAGAGTCACATTCCTACAATTGGAGAACATATGGAACTAAAAACAACCATCTATCAACCAATATCAAAGTGAGAATTTTCAATACGATTGTCAAAACAGTTCTACTATACGGAGCTGAAACTCGAAGAACTACTAAAACCATCATTAGGAAGGTACAAGTATTTATAAATGGCTGTCTACGCAAGATACTCAACATCCATTGGCCGGATACCATATGCAACAGTGTTCTGTGGAAGAGAACAAACCAGCTTCTAGTTGAAGAGGAAATTAGGAAAAGACGATGGAATTGGTGGATAGGACATACACTACGCAAATCATCGAACTGCATCACGAGACAAGCCCTAACTTGGAATCCTGAAGGAAGGTCGAAATTAGGAAGGCCAAAGAACATATTATATCGGGAAATCGAAGTAGATATGAAAAGGATGAATAACAATTAGAAAGAGCTGGAAAGGACTGCCCAGAACAGGGTTGGATGCGGAATGCTGGTGAGCGGCCTATCCTCGTTCACGAGGAGTAACAGGCGTAAGTAAGTAATAAAGTAATAGGTCTGAATGATCATGAAAGGATAGTCGAAAATGTATAGTTAGTATCTAAGAATTATTTAAAATTTATATTATTTATTTATTTAATGTAGACGATTAATAGTGGTAAATGTTATTAAATGAAGATCAGATATAAACTTAATTTAAGTGATTATATGTGAAAATCATTATTTGAAATAATCTTAGCGATTGAAATTTTTAAATAACTCCAACGTTTCATCCAGCTAACTTGTCTAGAATTCTTCAGGGCAATAATCAAAAACACAGAAGCTGTGACCAGTGGAGCTAATCCGTGTCGGGTAGTGACAGGTATCTATCTCAGTACAATGGAAGATAATCGCGCAATTTCGTGGATTGGTTGCCGGATTGGATGCCGGTTCAGTGGTATAGTAGGTTAAACGTCTGCGAGCGAGACTGAAGGCCCTGGATTCTATTCCTGCGAGCTTGGTCGTGGATGCGCATCGCCGTGAAGTCC